GCATGTAATTCAGCTTCACAAACTCCAAACACCTTCAACTGAGAAGTGTTTCTAGGGTATTTGCTGAGCTTATGCAAGAGTCATTTAAATTCAAAGAGAAACACTGGAAAGATAAAATGAATCCCAGGTGCTCTTACACTCCAGAAATAGATGCTTTAAGACATGAACAGAGAGAAATAGTGTTAGCAAACATACAGGAATCTTCTCTTCCCCTGAATTACTCCTATTTAAGTGCATGTTTATATACATATATAACCATGGTATTTCTTCACTTCCTAATTATATATAACATTATACTTCAAAGTTTTAAACAAACTTGTGAAAGGAAGTTTGTTACAAAATCTGCTGCTTGGAGGATACTGCTAGCTTCCAAACGCACAGCATGCTAAAAAGCCCCAGGCATCTAAAACTCCTCTGTCTTCTGAGGGCATATAAAATAGTCAAAAGCACAAGCTCTTCCTCTTTCTTTCATTTTAACTGATGGGAAAATTTTCCAGGCCACCTTGGAACGATAACTACTCACTGCCCAAGAAACTGGGTGCCTACTGCAGTCCTCACTGGACTGTTGAAGACATTTCTGAAGTGAATACAACTACTCAGCTGTGAGCACAACTCTTGAAACTACCTTCTGAAAAACTTCTATCGCTTCATGACTATTCAGGAAAAGCAATACATAATTAGTCGCTTAAGTAAAAGGAGAACGAGATCTCATTCTCTGTGAATTCAACTGTTCTCTGAAAGAAGACTCACTAGATTTCCAGGTAATTTCTATGACACCTTTTCCCCCACCTTGCATACTGGAACTGTCAAAAGAGAAGCCTCTCCAACAGTAGGCACCCTAAAATACATTTTCTGCCAAGTTATCAACTTCAAAGGACTGAGCTGATGCAGCAATATGGGGGCAACAATACTCTTCATTAAGGATAGTGCAAGAGATTGCTCAAAAATTCATTGTTCCAAAAAACAAAAGAGAGAAAAAGATTTGCAATAACTGGAAGGAACAACATGGAACTCCGCTTTCAGACTGCCTAAGGCTGAAAGGAATGCTAGGTTTAACAGATAAAATATACACTATATAAAAATAAATAAGCAGGTAAAAACAATATTATAACAAACCACAGAAACAAAGAATGTAACAACTTATGGTAAGAAAGTACCAGAGTACTCCTAGTAAAGAAACCAAACTGCAAACCTGTATTTTGCCAGCCACAGATGAGTATGGGAGAAAACAACAGACTCTAGCTTAACAGAGCAAAATTATGGGTCACTCTGGGACGGATTTAAATTGGATACAATGTAATGAATTTTTTGTCACAGTTTACGTGAAGACTTTGTGAGATGAATCGTACAGTACTTCTTACAAATCTCTTCATTAGGACCTGCCTGAGAACTTGATAAATAGTTTACTGGAAAAGATAAGCTCAAATGAAAATGCTACCTTCATTAAGCGTTTCTTTCTCCTAAGGAGGAAAAAACCCCTTAAATAGTATAATTTTATTTACGAAAGGATCACTATGTGGACATTGTAAATTTTTAAAAAATTACCTATCAATTACAATATATGTAAAAGTGGAATTTTGCAAAATGCTGAAAATGATAAGTGAAAAAAATCACCACCCCTTTTTTAATGGAATGTTGTTTTAGGACTTCCCAGCTGAGCTGTGGGCAGGGCAGGAGGTGTGCCACTCGGGCAGTTCACCAGCACGTCTGCAGTCGGCAGCTGTTAGGGAGCCTTGCTACGCCTCAGAATTACAACAGCACTCTTCAGATCACACTCCATGAACACGTCACTGGAAATCCGTATTAATGCTACCATATGACCTAAATAGCCTTATTTCTGGAGCGTTCTAATTTGCTACAGCAGGAGCATTTCAAAGTCAGAAAAACTGTCTTAGAAGGGCTACTCATGAAGAAGAATCTACAGTGTTTTGTAAATATATAGTATTTTTCAGTTCCCAAGTCATACTTTGCTTAAACAGTGTCTGTTGTGCATCTGCTATGTATCTTACAGTCTCCATTTTCAGCTGTCACGCGTTTCCTCAATAAAGGTTTTCTTTTACAGAAGTGTACACTCAGAAAAAAAGCAGAGCTATAACAATCATGTCACTGGTCCTACTGTTTACCATTATCTTCAAGGTTTTAGGGTTGATTTACATTGCGTTCCTCCCTATTTGACTTTAATTGTCTGCTTCAAGTTGTCAGGACATAACTATATCTTAGATTTGCATTGCATTAGGGGATCTTTTCCTTTTTCTATTGATCTTGTCTTATGGAGTAATTTAACTCAGTTCTAATTTTCTTTTGCATGCGGGGTGCTCTCTATCCAAGGAAGTGAGTTATGTGTATTCAAGTGGTGCATCTTATGAATCTTGTTAAGCTTTACCGCCTTATAGCCCGCACTGATGGAATATTTAATCACAGAAATGAGTTGGCAGATATGATGTACAATACGGTTAAGCCTTGCGGCGTGTGTCTTCACTGGCAATTGAGAAATGGGTGAATTTGCCATTCATCAGTGCCATCCTGACAGCTTTGTATAACCTTCTGTTTTTTTAGTTATTTATGAAGATTAAAGGTACTTTAAATCAACAGTTTCTCTGCAAATGTATCATCTTTATTTCAGAAGTGGCCGAATTTTTCATCATTTGTTAGGAGGTAAAGGAAGTTCTTGCCCTGACTGTGAAAGAATTGGTACAATTTTAACATGACAGGTTTGGAGACAATAATTAAACAAAAGAACTAGAACTCTGACTGTCTTTAATTTTATAATCTTCAGAAGTGCAATTGCTGCTTCTCTAAGTAAGATGAGGGGGAGAACCCAAAAAGAAAGCTATGTCACTGTATTCTATTACAGCATACAAGAATTGAATTACTCTTTTACTGTTTCATTTTCTAACGACTTTAAGACACCTGCATAGAGCCTTTTTTTTTGTTTTTTAAATAAATTGCTTAAAAGAAAGTTTAAATGTCTGAGAAAAAATTATCTTTTAGACAATAGAGCAAATACGCATTTGATATGTGTTTTATAAACCCCCAAAACTGCCTGCATGTATAAACAGAAAAAAATCTGAAATACCTGAAGTATCTCAATACAACTTTCTGCATAGGTGTGGTGGAGTGCATGTCATAATTCATAAAATTAAATTAATACTCTCCTAATGGTAATTAAAGATTCTCATTAGAAGGGCAAACACCTCCCTTGTGTTGGCAATAAAAATGCACTCGGGACTTTAGGAGGTTATACCAAAAAAATCAATAACCTGCCATTTTATAATTAAAAGACAAAATAAATGTTAGGGAAAAGTCCAGTAAATTAGGAAAATTACCTTCAGGAGAGATTGAAAATATTGATTTTAATTTACAAACTATGTGAACTCTTCATGGCCTACTTCATGAGACAATTATAAGTCAGATTGTTAATTCTGCATACGTATTAGAAAATTGATTACTGTACTATGGGAATATTATTATATTTGTCATTAACACAAAGTCATTTATATAAAATGACTAATAACTCTTAGTTTCTAATTTATGCAGGTTCAGGGTTGGTTCACTAACTACTCAAACGAGATCAATTTTAAATTCCTGTTTTCAATGTAAGGCATACATCAAGAAAGGAAATAAATTCTGCCTACACTAAATATTGCAATTCCATGAATGCCAATTTAGTATTTTTATTATACTGTGCCACTTTTACCCTAATTGGAACATTTTTGTCTATCTTAAAAGACAGCACTGGATTTATTACAAGCAGCTTTTTAAAAATCTCTGTTTGCAACAATAGTCCTATTTAACTTTTTTTTATCTCTTGAAGTCCCTTGAACGAACAAATCTTTTTCAGCTTTGTCTAGTGGAGGCTTGAATGCCCCCAGGTTCTGTGGGCAACCTCTTCCATGCTTAACCACCAGCTGTGAAAAATGTTTTCCTACTGTCTATTCTTTACTTGTTGTAAAGAATGTATTCTACAAGTACCTCTTTATCCTCAATTACCTAAGTGTGTGACAATGGATAAATATTTTTGGTTTTTAAAATACAATTAGGTATTTGTATCCAGTATATAAACACCCAGACAACTGAAAAACAGATCCAAGTGGAAAAAATGAAAGTTTCCCAGAGTTTCCCATGAAAGTCATGGACAACTCATATATGATTTTGGAACCTAAGAAAGGAAGGCAACTTTATCATGTATCAGCAGCATTTGGATTTGCAGTGACTATTTCTGTCTTAGATGTAAATTATAAACTTTAAAAAAATGACTTTTTTTGGACTTGCTAGTGATTACGTTTATGGGAAGGATTCAAATACCTCTGAAATCAACTAGGTTTTGGAGTACAACCATGTTTGTTTCCAATACTTTTGGCAAAGTACATTTAGAAACTGTTGCTAGCCATGACTCACTTCCAGGAGAAAAGGACTATACCTCATTAATTCCTAATTGTAACCAGGATGAGAATTTGGTGTCAGACTCCAGTGATGATATAGATTTAAGATACAGAAATTTTAAGTAACTGAATAACTAAATATAAAATTTAAATAAAAACGCTCAAGAAAAAAATTATTAACACAGATACTCAATACCTGTGTGTGTCTATGTACATGTATATACACAAAATATATATTTATAGATAGATTTTGTGGTGCTGTTGCTCACTAGGCTTAAATAATTGCTGGAGGAAAGAGACTGCACTGAAATGTAAAATAAAATAAAATATAAACAAAATATAAATAAAATAAAATCTCATGTAAGGCTGGGATATTGCAGTACATTTCATGTTATATTATCTACTTTCCAATAAAAAGGTATTCATATATCTTCTATATAAACTTTAGTATGCCCAGGTAACTTCAAATCCTGCATCACAAATCTTTAAATGACTTGCAGACAATGTGAATCAAACAAAGACACCAACCCTCACACCAAAAGCACATTCTGTACTTTTGCATGTTTTAAAGAATACTAAAATAAAATATGGTATGGATGACTATAGCAGAATCCTTACCTGCATAGAATTCTGGACTATAAACTGCACCAACAACTGGATTTAATTTCCAGCCTGCAGCAAACATAAAAACATAGTGGAGTTAATATTGCAATTAGTGATAATAATAATGATTTTCTAATTTTGTTTTTGTATAGAGGTATACAGATAAAATGGCTTCAAAATTGTCATTTTCATGAAATTACTGATCTTACATTACTGATCTTTAATATCAGACTCTGAAGTATGGAAATAAGTAATGGAACAAGGCATTCTCTGGACAGGTAGTACTGGAGTAAATTATCAGTTGAATTACCTTGGCTGCAATGCACAGTTGCCATGGACTTATTCCCTTAAATTACGGAATTAAGTCAGAACTAGTTCAGGTATCTCTTTATCATTTAGTACCAGAGCAGATCAGTTCTTTTTCCTTGCTTTAACTCTCTGCTTACGAGCCAGAAAGGCCAAAACAATCCATTTGCTGGACATAATGTTTCTGATAAGCACGTGTTAGTGTTGATTACAAGGCAATCAAACAATCTGAGCATTTCAATTCTACTCTGGGAAAAATGAAAGCATAGACACTGTCTGGAAATTTCTATTGTGACATGAAAGAGATTTGTGCACTGTGGGATCCCAGTCAAATGCCAGACTTTTTTCCCATTTGCATTTGTACATCAGACGGCCTGCACTGAAACGGCACAATTAGAGGCACGTACCAGAAGTGAGGGTCCCGCCTGCCTTTACAGCTGATAAATGCTGTTAGCTTATTGCTGTAAAGTAGCTGGCACAAAAGAAAACGCTGCAGTCACAATCTGCAAAGCTCTAAAGTGGTACACATACAGCCACTACCTTTGCCTTAAATAATCGCTGTCCTCCCACAGCTGGCATGAAACCAAAGCCCAGACCCGACAGATGTTCTGTACCGTGTGCTCTGGCCAAACCCCAGAGAATTGCTGTTGTGCCCTTACCCCCGACGCGGCATTTCCAGGCAAGGCTGGAGCGCACGGGCTCGCTGCAGAAGCAGGGACGGTGCTCAAAGCATGTGCTGCTCCAGACAGCAATGCCCAAGGAACTGAAGGAGTAACAGAGCAGCAAGAGAAAACACTGGCGAGCTCGTCAGTGTTCTCAGCTGTGGTAAAGTGCCAATTACTGTGTTTTGCTCAGTCACAGGTAGATCCACTCCCAGTTAATTCCAAGCTCCACAGAACATCCCTCCACCCACACTTTTTTTAAAAAAAAAAACCATGTGAACAATTATTTGAAGTACCAGGACTGAAAAATTAGGGGTTTTCCAAAAGCACACTTGAATCAGAGGAGTGGGAAGCACCATTTGTAAATGGGAATAAAGAAAAAGAAAAAAACCGCAAGCTAAAGCATATTGTAAACTCAAGAACTATGGTACTTCAAATAGATCCTATAACTATGCTGCTGGAAACAAAGCACAATCAAGACAGGGACAACAAGGCTTTTAAAAATCAGAAGAGCCCAGGTTAGAAGAATTTAAATTCAAACTGTATTGAGGTTTCTTTCTGCTTTGGCCATAACATGTAGCATAGCAGAAGACCATAAAAACATAAGCCACTAGAAGACTGAAAAAGTGTGATACAAAAATCTCAATTATAACACAAAAGAAAACTATTCCCACCTTGAAAAATACTGCTAATCTCTATCTGATGCACAGTAACTATTTACCAGCAATTAACTGTTCATTAACAAAGGTGAGGGGTGTTTTTGAAATGCAACTCATTAATAATTACAAAGTTAAGAGCAGCATTGCATGCAATTGCTCTGCTGACATAATTGCAATTGCTATATGTACCTAAAAGACAATTATGGAAGCTGACAAATGGCCAACCAAGAAGGGTTGAAATTCCTTTCCTCCTGAAAATTACACAGGATTTTTACCTGACCTTTCAATTTTACATACTACAGGATTATACTCAGAAATGTCATGGTATAACAGATACTCTCAGGAAAGTTTGTATTATGAAAAATCATCCAAATTTTGAGACTTCCAGTAAAAAAAAAAAATCTAACTTTTCATATCTTAGGGAGTATTTAGGATTTGAAATTCATTATTTCCTCAAAACACTGATCAACACCATCCAGAATGAAAGATTGGACTGAATTTCAGATGTGTCAGCTTTCGCTGTCTAAGAAGCTGATAGACACCTCTCAGCTTCTAAGTTACACTAAGAATGCCACAACTTGTCTGAGAGAAAGAGAAAATCTTAGAAGACACAGATTGCTCTTCACAGCTGAAAGCTATGCTCATCTTTCAGTTCCTTACCTCTCACAGAGATGGCTGTCTCATCGAACTTTTTGGAGCTTATACAGGAAATACTTCACTCATCGTGAAAATAACAGTAATTAAACTTAACTTTATCTTGTCAGCCAGCAATGTGCTGGCCCATAGCTGTGTGGGTTAATCAAGTGTGATAGGAGTTGATGTATCCGAGTGAGCATCTGCCAAGTTAACCCTACTGCAGCAGCTGGAGGAGACACATTCTCTGCAGTGGGTGTAATTTTGTGCATTTTTCTCACTGTCGCAATATTAATCTCCTCAAGTTGAAACTATAAAAGCTCAAAACTTAAAAACCAAACAAGGAACCGAACAACCCCTCTGCCTGCCCCAAACTCCCATCCCATACTGTATTTCAAAAGAAATACAGGGTAAACATGCTGAAGGTGAGGAAATAATTGTGCTGCACAGTGTAACAAGCTTTGGTAGAAAGTGGGGCACAGCGATGCAGAGATATTACTACTGTATCGCTTCCCAGGCCAGACAGGCACCCGTGGCTGGAGGAAGGCTCTGGCAGGAAAGAAGCCCTGTGACAGTTTGCTTTCCTCTTGTTTGCAAACAGAGGGGAGGGAAGGGGAGTAGGAGGGAATTCTATGGTGGTGATAGTCACCAGCTGCATACTTGAATCTAAGTTTAGATCAACAGAAGGCTCAAATTCAAGACACCGCAAATATAAACTTCAAAACACACATATCCCTCTACTGATCGCTGTTTTGTGCTCCTCATTCATTGCTGTGTTTCTCTGAATCTATTTGCACATAATTCTCTATTCCCCACAACACTTGGATGAACATCCTGAATTGCAACATGAGCATCAGAAGAAATGATCTGGACGAGGGGATCGAGTGCACCGTCAGTGAGTTCGCAGACGACACCAAGCTGGGTGGCAGTGTCGACCTGCTGGAGGGTAGAGAGGGATCAGGACAGGCTGGATCGATGGACCAAGACCAACAGGATGAGTTTCAATAAGGCCAAGTGCCGGGTCCTGCACTTCGGTCACAACAACCCCCTGCAGCGCTACAGGCTGGGGGCAGAGTGGCTGGAGCTGCCTGGCAGAAAAGGACCTGGGGGTGATGGTCGCCTCTGGGCTGAACATGAGCCAGCAGTGTGCCCAGGTGGCCAAGAAGGCCAACAGCATCCTGGCCTGTATCAGGAACAGTGTGGTGAGTAGGGCCCGAGAGGTGATCGTCCCCCTGTACTCAGCACTGGTGAGGTCCCACCTCGAGTACTGTGTCCAGTTTTGGGCCCCTTACTACAAAAAAAGACATTGAGGGGCTGGAGCGGGTCCAGAGAAGGGCAACAAAGCTGGTGAGGGGTCTGGAGAGTAAGTCTTCTGAGGAGAGGCTGAGAGAGCTGGGGTTGTTCAGTCTGAAGAATAGGAGGCTGAGGGGAGACCTTATCATGCTCTGTAACTACCTGAAGGAGGGGTGTAGAAAGGTGGGGGTCGGTCCCGTCTCCCAGGTCACAGGAGACAGGACAAGGGGAAACGGCCTCAAGTTGTGCCAGGGGAGGTTTAGATTGGATATTAGGAAACATTTCTACACCGAAAGGGTTATCCAGCATTGGAATAGGCTGCCCAGGGAAGTGGCTGAGGCACCGTCCCTGGAGGTGTTCAAAAGACGGGTTGACATGGTCCTCAGGAATATGGTTTAGTGATTTTTTATCGCTTATTTCTTATTTATTTTTTTGTCATAGTTAGGTTGATGGTTGGACTAAAAGGACCTCTTTAAGGTCCCTTCCAACCTAGACGATTCTATGATTCTATGAAAGTATAACTGTGAACAGGACAGGTTGGAACACCTCAAAAATGTCTCCAAAATATTTTTGCCAACAAGCAGAACTCCTGACAATGAATTTATTTGCGAAGAAAAGGCATTTCTATCTCCAAAGCACATGAGGTCAGCCATCAAAATCATCCTATCTGATAACAAACTTGCACAGAAAGAGCTCTCCTAGCAACCGAGCATTTATTAACTGCTCATTTCAGCAATCATCAGAAGTCACTGGAAAGCTTACTTATTTCAAAAACCATCTAGGACACAAAAGTAAACCACTTATTTGAATGAAGCTGCATATAGTTAAAAATAAAACCCCAAACAGTCTTGGGTTTTGTGCGCTTTAAGATCTACCGACTTTTGCAATCATACTTACAATGTGACTCTTACCAAACCAGCAGTATTCAACAAAGAAAGAAAAAACTGAGTGCATCTTATTTTTAAATTACAATAAATATTAGTGCTTGATGTTTTCAGGTAATACAACAGGTGCCCAACTACATTTTGAATACCTGCCTGACATATCAGTCACCACATACGCCTTGAAAAATATAGCCACACATTAAAAAAGTGGTTCTGAAGAGATAGGCACGTGCAAACAAAAAGCTTCTGGCTATCTGCGTCAGAAGCATCTTGCAAAAGTTAATATGTTTGTAGAAGAATACAGAAAAATTTGTCCTATATTTTATTTAAAAGGTGAGACCTTTAAACAACAATAATTGTTAATAATCAGCTACAGGTCTGGTTAATTTCTGACAAAATGATAATAGACTAGAATTATACAATGTCAGCATGACTGACAACAGAAGAACTGATTAAACTATACGAAGCACCTTGCACGTCTACACTTCATTCCTTGTCACTTGTAATGATTATGCAAGAAGAACATGATTCTCCTTGTGTGTTTACTTTAGGGGATCTCAGACATTAAAAAAAAACAATAAAATCAAAATGTATGAACTACAACCAGAGTTTGCCTTGGTGGATACCCATCCAAAAGTGCAAAAGAACATCCTGCATGCAATACCTCGGATGTATGGATTCACAAACATAAATGCTAATTTTTATGCACTAAACAGGATGTTCCATACTTTTGGTGAGATCCACATGGAACAGAACGGAAAATGACAGACACAAACCTCTTCAAGTGGGAAAACATTTAACAGTAGATTGTCATCAATGATAATTTATGACCTAAGTAATCCTGCAGTGCAGGAAACAGAGGTGAACCTCCTCTAAAGCCAGATACCATCTCTATTTCCAGCATTCCCTTCCTTCACCACTAGATGTGCTGACATGTAACGGGTTATTTGGTAATTACCATTTTCATAGCCTTAGAATAAGATGAACACAAAATACACACCACAATTTACAGAAAAACTAATTTTACACTTTTATCACCTCAATAGAGCAGACAAAGTTCATAGTATCATATGCATGTAGTTAATTTAATTCATTACTGCAACAAAATCTTGTTATGTGACCCATCCAAGCTTTGTGTCTCTTTCGCTAGATTCACTCAGGTGTTTTAAAGCCAGTAAAAATGAAGGAGATTTTCCCATCTGCATCATTTGCAAAGTTCCACATTTACATACAAAACAAGGATGAAAACAGTTTCTGAGAAAGCATGAGGAAAATTTCACACTCTTCTTCTCCATGTCATTTTAACTAGCATAATCATCACATGTCAAATGAAGACCATCACTTTATTTTTACTGTGGTAGGAAAAAATTGTGACTCTTTCATTAAAAAATAAGCCACTGTTTGCCCTGGGTTTTAATAAAACCTCACTAATGACACCTCAGAGAGAGAAAATAAGATCTTTAGAATCTTATTTCTTTTCTAAAGAAATAAGAAAGAACAACGTATGTGCAGATTTCATCTGGATGGAAAAAACTTAATTAAATTGAAAAGCAAATAATTATAACTACATAATGTAGTAAAACTAGAAAATGTAATTGCAATTAACTTGAATCAATGTATTATTGTTTGACATTGTTAAGTTATGAACTTGTTAGAATTTTCTGAACTGGCAAATGCAAACAACTCAAGCATGTGATCAAACACTGCCAAAGGAAACATTTTTAAAATCCATTGCTTCCAGACTCCTCAAATATCTATGGATTATTTTTCTATCATTAAGATACATTATACCAACTTAGGTCAGTATTAGAATGAGTTTTTTTCAATAGCTTGGAATTTAGTTTTTTTCCAGGGAAAAAAAGCTGGAAACAGCACTGAGTTACAGTTTGCCCTTTACTTCAAATAAACTGAGGATGGAAGCCACAGAAAACTATCTTTGACTAGATGCGTGTCTTGGTACTAAAAAGTACCTCATGCCTGACAGAGACATTCTTCTGACTGGTCTCCCTACCTCCATCATCCAAGCAAAACTGAATCCTCTGATTAGTTCATTCATTGCAACATCAACACTGCACAAAGCTAGAAAAAACCACTTTCCTATCAGGTGCATTACCCTATACAAAAGCCCCCGTGGTTAAACACTCTAATTCCAATCAGGCAAAATGATGCACGCCGTGCCCATGTGGCTGTGAATTAGCTGAACTCTACACAGATGGAATTTCTGCCCAGTTGTTGGACAAAGCCTGAGCCCAAGGAGATGCAGACTGGGACACTTCATGAGGAGATGAGTCCACCCATTCAGCAGAAGAGTGAGGTTTCCCATGCACTGACATTAAAACAAAGCCATGAGATGTCATGCACTTACCATTCGTGTAAGGGTTGACGGTCTTTTTATTTGTCATTACACGTGCTGTTGCATTATTTACCTAAGCACATAGAACACTGGATTAGAAAGGGTTACAGGGAGGGTTCATGTTACTATTAAATGCATGCATTATTACTGCTATTAGTCATGTAAAAATAAAATGCAATTTAATTTATAGAAGGCAACAGGTGCATAACAAAATCATACTATTTATAATTACATTTACTTTCATAACCATTTTAACTTACAAATCATTTCAATAAAGCAACATCATATCATTTAAACTTTAATAAAAAGACATTAAAAGCAAATTAAAAGGTACTGCATAATTTAAGACTTAAGAGCATGCTTGTATTCCATGATAACACTGATACAATAAATACTCAAAACAGAAAAAAAGATTATATGAAGGAACATGCAGTGGAGTAGAAGGGAAAGAGACAAGGTACAAGGAAACAAAGAAAATGTCAAAAAAAGGGACAAACGAATTTTAGCAGTGTGCAACATAACCCTTTAGAAGAGAAGTACCATTGGAAAAGCAACATCTAGCATTCAACACTTGGAACAAGAGCCTTTTTCATTGCAAGAATTAACAAAATCATTCAAGCTTTAAAATCACAGCTAACAAAAGGATAAAAAGAGGGTGCATTATTTAACACAATATGGAGTTAACAATCTGAGTAAGATGTGCACGAAGTCATATCCTCAATCCAATCAGTGCCTCCCAGGCTTGCTTAAAACGTACACTCAATTACAGGCGTACCAATATAGAAAAAAATGTAGCATCAAGAAAACTTAATACAACAAGTCAAAAAAATTCACGTGGTATATCAGCGCTAAATACGTGAAACGGCAGATGGACTTCTCCACTTACCATTCAGCACCATCGCCAGCATGGGTATGTATACAGTTACCATGGTTACTGAGAGTTTGGTGAGGGCCCTAAGTGCTACCGTCGAAGGGGGAAAATGAAAAGGCAAAATATGCAACATCTTACTCAAAAGACGACAGCATTTTCAATTGGTATTTTTTTTATTCTAACAAATACGACTGAGGCAGTATTGAAGGGGATCCAGTGGTAGTAAAACGCATTTGTGTTGGTTTGTTACTTGATAGGAATGGCTTGGGCCATCCAGCCAAAGTAGCCTGATGGTCTCATTAAAAATTAAATGTTAAAATTTGTCAGTCTCTAGTCTGGCTTTGTTTATTTTTCTGGTACATCTTTTGGATGCTTCTTTCCCAATTTGAATTTTTTGAAAGCCACTGTGGATCCCGCATCAACCCTGCAGCAAAAAAAAAAAAAAAAGGAAAAAAAAACCAAAATAAAAAAAACAACCTTTTGTTTGTTTTTGTTTTGTCTGTCACACTTTTTTTTTTGTTGTTCTCAAATTTTTTTCTTTTTTTTGTTGGCTGGTTTTTGGAATCTACTGCACCCATCAATTTACAAAACATCCAAAATAATAACTTCAAAATATTAAAGCTTTCATTTTTTTTTTCAATTCTGTCATCCACCTTTCAGCAATAATGATAATAATAATAATAATTACAAAAGAAATAATAATAAAAAACCCAAGTAAGGCCAATTCTCTCTCTTTATATATAAATATATATATATAAACAATGGGAAGGGGAAAGGGGAGCACACAGAAGACACCAATGATGCATCTGAAACAACAAATGAGAGTGAAGCAGACATTTATAAAAAAGATGAAAAGGAAAATATTTTGAACATGCACCTCGATTTTACGGCCCTCTACCACGGTGCCGTGTAATTTCTCCCTCGCCCTGTCCGCATCAGCACTATTTTCGAAAGTTACGAAACCAAATCCCTGCATGCAGGAGGGAGAAGGGGGGAAAACAACATGCACATTATTATTTCAGTCAATGACCACTTGTTTGCTTATGTTCTCTCTCTTTAATTTAATATTTTCTTGTCCTTGCTTCATTTCTGTAACATGCAAATTAGAAAAATTATAATTGTATTGAGATGTGCAATAAATAAGCGACAAATGTGAACAAATTTTTTCTGTCATCAGTTAGATAATACCATCTGAGAAATTCAAAGAATGATACCAAAAATACCTTTCTATATGTCACTACAGAGGAAAATAAATCTAACAATAAGAAAATGAAATTAAAATAAATTACAGTGTCTTCACACAGAAAAAAATGAACTAATGAGAAAAGAAAATGAACCACATTTTAATGACATGCAGATATCTCAACGAAATAAAAAACATGTGCACAAAATTCAACACTGAATGTCAATATACTCTAAAACATTGCCTACTTAATCATGCTCTTGTGATCGTAAGAAACATTGTTCCCATGCAACACTAGGGTAACTTAAACTGTTGTCAAACTATACAGCCTTTACTTATTTTTTTATAAAAGAAAAAAAAAAGAAAAGAAAACCACCAACAAAACAAAAGTACCTTTAGAACAAAGTATAAACTTTCTTGTATTAACAGATCAAATAAAATCACATGATGTGAATAGAAAAAGAAATTCTGATAAAGGAATAAAAATGCAAACGCTTTGAATAAATTTAACTGGTTCATTTACTATTTATGTATATTACTTTCCACATCCAGAACATGCAACTGGTAAAACTCCAGAATCCCGTGTTACTGGGACAGGAGAATACTTGACAAATATGAAATTCTGCCTATGGCAAATGTTTTGCTTTATAATATTAGGTTAAACAAACATTTCCAATCCTACTAAAATTCTTTTTATTGTGCTAAGTTAAACACTGTTTACAACGGTAAATTATCAGACATCGAAGAAACATTTTAGAAACATACACCAACCCTTTGAAGTAATTGTTACAATAGCACTACAATGCCTTTGCATGCTCTCCCAAAGTCATCCAAACAGATAAGCTTCTCTCTCCTCAGTGCTTCCTAACAAGAAACGTGTTAAGTTACAGCCACTTTATAAAGAATAGGCATTGCCGTTCCTATGTGAAGTCCTACTACAACCTTTTTCTTTCCTGTTACTTTAGCTTGACCTATGGAGTTAAGGCTTCCATCTGTGCTGCTCCTCAGCAATAAGCCATGCCTCAAGCCCTCCTCATTCTCCAGTCCAGGTGCTAAGGTTAGTGGTCGCTATTCACCCACTTATTCTCTGCAGTTCTACCCATTATGTACATAGTGACTGATATAAGAAAAAAGAAAAAAAAAAAGAAAGAAAAGGGGAAAAAAAGAGGAAATGAAGATGTTTATACATTTAAAACAAAGAAGAGATCAGATATTAAACTCAAACCTGACACCTAGCACTGAGAAAAACAATGGATATGAGCTACAAAATTAATTCACCAACAAAAAGAGTTAAGAAACTATCAGGATTGTTATGTGAGTTTTTGGGGTTACTGCACCTACTCAAAGAACACATTTATTTATGCCAGTTTATAAAATAGAAAGTGACATTTATATGACAGTAGCAGTTTATGTTCTATTCTCTTCAAAGTAGCTTAAACACATTGTCTGTTGCTCTTTTTTTCCCCTCTTTTGAAGGCCCACTGGAGCCCGAGCTCAGAAGTGCTCTATCAGCAGCTCCACTTCCAGCTGAAGCCATTCTCACACCACCTGATTCTACACATTTTATCCACCCTACCCTCCATAACTTTAGCACAAAGCCACGACCTCACTGGTCACAAGACACTGAGGCTGTAACTCTCTTTTCCCCAAAGCACAAGGAGTGTTTGAGAGAAACTCAATCCCCCTCCTCAGTACCGATCCCTACATTTTAGATGCCTGCAGGAGCTTTTTTTATACCTAAACCCTTCCTCAACTTTAAACTTTTATTTCTTCTTCAACTGCTCCCTCCCATCTTGTAAAAGCTCTGTGAAAAAGAAAAAAAGCTCATAATTTAAGATGCCATTAAGAAAATTTCACAGCAGAAACCATCACTGCAGCCATGGACCCAACGAGCCTCGCTCCCTGCAATGGCAGAAACTCCAATTCTGTTTGGTCTCCCCTCTCCTCCCTGCGGAACAACCGCCCCCCTCACAACTGCAAACACTCGGGGGGAGTTGTTTAGTCACAATTTTGAATCAGTCTTCTTAGCTCACAGCACTACAGTTAATTTTTTTCAAACAACTGAAGGGAAAGATAAAAACCTAATTATATTAAAAAATAAGAAAAAGATATAAAGTGGAGCCACAAGCCAAGATAAGACAGAAACTTCAAAGATTCTGAAAAGAATACTCATTGTAATTTTTTAATTTCTTATGTTGTACTTATTCTCATAATTAACACCATTTAAATTAAGCTCTTATTATTTATGCAAATCTTTAATTTTACCTAGCTGACACAGAAACTCAATCAGAGAACATAGATTCTTTCATCACATATTAAAATATCTACACAAACACGTTAACATTGATTTTATATGCACCTGATTCGACAGCTACTTTAGCTTAGCATACTATGTATTTTATTAACCAATGATGTACATTTCTGCATTTTATTTTTCAAGTCTGACAAATGATTTAATAATAGCCAAGCTAGTACTTGAGAATGTTCTGTTTCAATGTTGGAGGTGCTTTGGAGTTCTTATTTGAAGAAATGTATGTTAATAAGATATATATTGATATATAGAGAAACAGACAGATTTATGATAGTCTGTATGTATTACATAGCTGTACAGAGCATTAATTTGCAACTATAAAAAAATAGTACTGTTCATGTTCCTGTATCTTTGCAGCCTTGCAATTGTGCCCGAGACAAAGCCATTCGCAGCTCCATGGAGAGCTTCAGTGCTGAAAGAGCAGAGTAGCATTAAAATATGCACAGTACTGGGAGCTGTGTTACAACCTTCCAAGAAGAGTGGTAAACGCAGAGAAAGGTAAGTTACCAGCAGTTTTTAATGCTACTTTAATCAACAGCTTCAAGAATTTGCAAAGTTAAGCCTCATTTATTTAACACAGGTTGTAAGAAAGATCTACAACAAAACAACACTGACATTCTTGCAATTGTTATAAAATGTCATCAGTGTTGCCATACAATTCTAGCAAAGATACCTTAATTTATGACCCCAAACAAACAGAAATTTGTAGTAAGAAACCTGTATTATTTCACGGTTTCTTTTATGGAAAGACACCCTCTGCAAGATTATTTTATTCTTTATGGTGGTGCTGCAGCTTTATGTTTTTTGAAACTGCAATTCCATTTTTCTTAACTATTATGGTATGAAAATGAGATTACTTCTGTTGTTTTTTCAAGAATCTTTTAAAGCATTGATTATTGGAATAAAAACAAACAAAAACAGAAACAAAACAAAAATGCTAGCAATTATTTTATGCCAAACTGCAGCTAGAAACAAATTTGAATTTTGATCCTGCAAACTTTTTTACCTGTACTCAGTTTGAGACCACTTAGTAGTCCTTTCAGTTTCAGTAGGATTTTATGAAAACATAGATAAGCACTGCCAGGAATGGGACTTTAATCTGGTGCATCTTAAATCCTATAGAATGGACATGAAACGATCAGATTAAAAAAATAAAATAAAATAAAATAGATGTTCCTCTTATTCCTAATCCTATTTTTTAATTTCTATTTAATTGAGAGAATTTAAGTGTACTTCACCAAATCAAAATACTATGTAGCTATAGCTGAAATAACTCTAAACAAGCAAGAAGCAGCATACATCAGTTATGAGATGCATCACAGAGCTGCTGTATCTTCAGCAGCTTACTCGGAGCCAGTCTGCATGGACCAACCCAGCACTGGATAATGTAGAAGTATTTAATAATAGGTCTCAGTCTCTAACACAGTGTTTATCTGAGATAGTGACATTACAAGATGACCTAGAAAAACCTCTCCCTTGTGAAATCCTTTCTAGGAGGCTATTTTAAGCACAAGGATGTTTGCACTGATGCAAGATCACTATTAAAAAACTCAATTCAGAAATACCTCCCCATGCCACCCCCCACACCTTTTAGAAAAGCCTTACGCTATCTGATGCAGACACGGTGGTTCAAAGTCCTACATTTGTAAGATTCAATGGCTAAACAAATGTGTACACCACCACCACCACATGTTTACTTGGTTCCACTCCATCTTCAACAGAACCAACCAAAGTTTACTCAATTCCACTCCATCTTCAACAGAACCAACCAAAGGTGGCAAGTAGGATGTCTTGAAATTTATACTACTGTCCGGTAGAAGCAGGTTCTGGACAACTAACATCTTTTGCAAACACTATTGAACACTCATAATTTAAAGCTAAGAAATTTCAGCCAGATTAGGAAATTCTAAGCCACCAAATCCCATCCATTTTGGTTGTTTACTGAAAAAGCAGTACATGTTCCAATTGGGTTTAGGCTAGCAGGCAAGGGTACTAATTAATAAATGTCAGAATAAGTTTGAAACACAAACCAGGAAATTTCAGCTATTAAAAAAAAAGGTAATGGCTTTAAATTTAGCCTATAAATACAAACATGTTAAGGGAAAAATTAACAAAATTAAAATATTTCTGATTTAAGAGAGATTTATGATATATGTGATTCTTAAAAAATGACAGATGACACTATAACAGGAAAAGAATTCCACTGCTAATAATAAAACATATATGAGTTACAGGAAGACTGGACCATTGGTGGATAAACATTCTAGAATGTCTGATATGGGAGGAAAAGGAAAAAGATATCATGCATATGACACACATAAACCCTTATAATGCAGCTGATAGCACAGGTGAAGCACACTGGGCTACAGTTGTGCAGCAGCTAACGATGCTAATGCAGTCATAGCCATTCTATCTTGCTTTATTTCTTAAATATTGAATAAATTGAAGTATGCATTTAAGGCAAAGTAATTTTCAGAAAAAATTAAATGTTTGCAATACAGTAAGAACTCGTTTAGTCAAATAACTGTTAAAATAGATTGTTTTCAAAGGGTTGGTGTACTGAAGCTTTAACTAAAGAGGAAAACATCTGCACTTAGATAATCTAGAGCAATCACATATTTTCTCAGCTAATTACTAAAGAGGATAGTTATTAGGTATCATTATCATCTTTCATTTCAATAGGGGAAAAAAATACCTGTACTAATACAAACCTGCCTACAAATATCTCTAAGTATGGACTCATCTTGTAAAATAAACAAGATAATTACCATTGAAGGATACAGACAGCAGAAATCAACATTCCCATAAAACAGATGACAGTTTGGAGTAGCTAAAATTACCCCCTTTAAAAGATATAAAATGAGTCCAATGATTTTCATGCTGCTTAGGAAACTGAATGACAGCTCAGAAGATGTTTTCAATAACGTGGAATTTCAGACATTATTTTTTACAGCAGTGCAGTTGTTTCCTTTTACTCATATAAATATTTTAAACAAATTAAAACATTCCATGGGTGAATTAAACTGCTTACCTTTGAGCCTCGCTCATTAAAAATAATTTCAACATCTAAGATTTTACCAAATTGCTGCAAAGAAACAGAAAAGTCACATGAAAACAAGATCATTTCAACACTTCTTATCATATACAGTATAAACACTTGTTTCAGAAAATGGTGCACTACATAAAAAAGTTAAAGAATATAAAATCAAAGATAGTCAAGCACTGAAAGAAATACACTGGAGCCAGACCAATATTACAACTAAATTGTATGTATCATTGCACTTGTTGCTATCACTCCACATAGGCACTTATGAGCTTTAAGTTCAGTGAAACCACCTGACAAAGAGCAAATCATCATTAAACTGTGATCACAGTGATGTGAAAGTCCCAAATTAGTTATTTTTCATTTTGTCTTTGCACACAGTAGTTTACTTCATTGTGACCCATCCAGTCTGGCTGCCATCACTTTTTTTTTTCCCCACATGTAATATGCTACTGGTTAATTTGCTTGGAGTATAATAATCCTCACTAACAAGACAGGATAAACAGCTGCATGAACATTATCACCCTCTGGTCATCCTTCCCTCTGAAGAACCTTTGCCTCAGAAGACTTTTTGTGACTGCTTTCCAGGACAGGTGAAGGAGTTTGGGTCGATTTGCTTTAAATGTTTGACTCGGGCAGTGTTTAGTTGGACCACTTTCTGATATGACACATTTTGTGATGTGACACTGTAATGTATCACGGGGTCACTTCTGTTATTTCATATGTCATTAACATGCAGTATGGATCAGTGGTAACACTCATAAGTGACATAATACATTAAACAAAAAGGCAGAAATTAGAGGCAGGCAAATGAAGACTAGTCTAACAACAGTCCAAGGAACTGCAGAAATGAGCCTATACTTTAGTATTTTAATATATGATAAACAATTACAGGCCAGAAAGGACAGTATTAGTTCTCTAGCTTATTCAAGTGTTTGAAGTTGATTATGAAAATCAACCATCATTTGTTATCCCTTGGCTTATTTAATGTTCTTGCATTCATCATCTAATTAACGTTTTAACTGCAACTTTAGCCTATAACCAGACACTGACTTAAATTTTAAACAATCCTCCTCTGCTGTATTTATGTCCATGTAAAAAGGTCATCTGCTATTTGTATAATGTGGTGATGATACAGTTACCGTATTTCACATCAGATATTTCAACTCGCACTTGCAGGAATTTCATTTTTCTATCAATTCAGAAGCTACAAGTTTACTGTTACCAAGTCATTCTAAAGCTGGAAAGCTCTAGCCATTCTCCAGTGACAGTCTTTTGAGACCTAAGACTTAGAAATACTGAAAAAAAACCATAGTTTTTATTCACTTATAAAATACTACTTTCCCTCAAAAAAAACCCCTTTCATTTAACGTACTTTCAAATAAAATCCATCTATTTTAAGTGGGTTGTTTAATTTAAATAAATTTGCATACCTTTCCCTAGAGGATTAATTATTATGCCTTCTGCTATTTTGCTGATGTGCTGTAAGCTGCATTTAGGGGAGGTTACTTGTAGTAAGTCAGATATTGGCAAAACAGTCACTCCCATTTTCCAACCCTGTACCAGGATTCTTTTTCCAGTGACTCTTTCCTTCACTTCATACACACAAATACTGAAACACAATGTCTTAACTCACATACAAAGACATTAGAAGAACTTAAAAATCTGAACTGAATGTGAAAGATGGAGAGAAGTACAGTGCCATGAAGTACTTGATGCTGCACTGCATAACAAACTGTAACGCAGAAGAGAATTAAATTTTAGTGAGTCAGAAATAAGAAAGCAAAAGGGACCCAAATGCTTATGAGTACTAACTTGGAAAGGAAAAGCTGGGTTCTCACAGCAGATCAAGTACTAGCTCTAGATTTTATTTAGTGACATTTCAAATTAAATCTGAGTTCTTGGAGCAGGAAGAAGAAACCACAACTAACCTCTCATCGTTTTGGGCCTAGAATTTATGGCACGTATGAGACGTGTGAAACACAGCCAATGCACAGGAAGGAACTTAAAGGCCTGGGCAAAAGCAAAAACTGAGAGACTTATAGAAAAGTAATGGACCTTATGGACCTACAATACCTGTGGGGATGGTTGAGGAATCCTACGCCGGCACTTCATGTTTAAATTCAGCCCATGTCTTACCTCTATAGATTTGGGTCCCACGCTCATGAGGTCAAGCATTGACTATGGTACATCATGCTCTCCAAAAATCAATAAATACAGGTGTATAAATCCAGATGTGTACAGCAGAAACATATATGCATTCAATACTTCAAGCCATCATTGGTAGATTTTTCTGAATGTAATATAAACCAGCACAATACATAGAATACACTCATCTGTACCACATACAGAACTGCTAGAATTTTCTTCTCCCAATTGTGACTTGCAAATCAGATGTTTGGTTATAAATAAATTAAGACAGAATCTTTACTGAAAATGGTTAAACAGCCCAAATCAGAGATACTGCTCTCATGATTGCCTGTAATATAAAATAGCTATTGCAAACATAAAAAAGCATAAATAAAGTATGAGTACTTACACCAAACATTTGTCTAAGATCTGGGTCCCGGAATCTGAATGGTATATTTGAGACGTGAAGCCGTTTTGGCTGTGATTTGTTTTCTGTGTTTTCAGAAGATTGTGTCTGTTGCTGGCCATCGGTCTGTGCTGCATCATCTGTCTGCTAGAAGGGTAAAGCAAAATAAATTAAAGTTCAGTGTAAGTATTTCTGTTATTTTTAGGATAAAGTAGCGACCTTAAATTCTCAAAAAATAAGACTAAAAGGAGCTAAATCTGCTCAGACAAAGGTACTGAAGAATAGCAGAAGCCGATATACATGAAAATCAAGTCTGTTTCTGTATGGGTTTCATCAGTATATGTTTTCAGTAATACTTCTAATATATATTTGGAATACCTGGAGAATAAGTGATTATTATTTGTTTATTTTCTTAGCTACTTTTAATGATGAATAAATATATCTCCCTATATTATGATACTGTTGATAATCCTTTAACCTCATCAGTGTTTGCCAAATGGAAGAAAAAGAATCTGCATGTCCAAATAACAGCCTACTTGCAGGGGTAAGCTATACTCTTTCAAATAAGATTAGTACTTTCATTCGAGGTCACTGGGACTCCTCCACAGGAGGTAGGTAACACATCACATCCTAGCTGCCATTTGATAAGCGGTGCTAATGGGCACTAGAGGGTCATTTTGTCTAGATAAATGGTCACCATTATGGAAAAGGCCTTGAGTTGTAAAAGGGAACAGGAGTATAATCAGTGGTGAAGGTTGCCTGACATAAAAGTGAGACCTGGAAACAAAGTTTTACAGATTATGTTTCTCACCTAAGTAAGATCATGTCATGGCACTTCTTGCAGGGATACTGTTCCCTAGTTTTAAAATGCTATTTTATAATTGAAGGACGTTGCTGTATATTACAATTTAACAAACAAACTTAATTTGAACACACCTAGAGAGACAATGTCCTTCATCCAAAAAGTAAAACTGACCAGTGCTGGTCTATCAATGTATTATAGAAATTTCTGGGCTGTGTTCTTTAATGATATCATGCAGTGCTTAATTAATCACTACTTGTAAAACACACATTCACTAGAAACAGATTTTGCATTGCTATGTAAAACCAGCATAGTTATTTTCTTTTGCACTGGTAGAAGAGATTTGGAAAGAAAAAGAAGAGGAAAGAAAATAGTTGAATGAAGCTAAAGGATCCTCTATTTTCTCTGTCCTTCCTCTTTCTTCTGAGCATATTCATCTTCCAAGTACTCATTTCTCTCTTATTTTCTCATGTTAACAGTTCAGACCGTCTTTCTGACTTTTTTAATAAAAAAAAAAAAGAACTCTCCTATCTCCTGCTACTATCAAATTCTTTTAAGAGACAACAGTTTTAAGCAAAATAAAAAATGGTTAAATAAAATAAACCTTACCACACAGTTTTAGTACCAATAAGCCTGTTGAGGAGAAAGCAAAAGAACTCAAACAGAATACATAATTTTCATCGGCAATAACTACATATAAATTTAATTCTAGGAAGTTAAATGCAACACCATCTTCCCCAGCAAATGCAAATATTCTCAAACTCAAAGCATAAACATCTACAATTTCTTGTACTGCCTATACTTTTGTGCTAAAAACACTTTACAAATAAAGGTCCTTATCTGTTGATAAGCAGGTCCCTGATATCTGCTGGGAAGGTTATACAGCCAAGCATGTACAGTCCAGAAGGTTCCTCCAGTGTACTGATGATAACTTCTTGACTCAGGTGGTGTAGGAGCCAACAAGGAGAGAAGCACTACTGGACCTAGTTCTGATGAACAAAGAGGGACTGGTGGAGGACATTAAGGTTGGGGGCAGCCTTGGCTGCAGCGATCATGAAAAGATAGAGTTCAGGATCATGGGTAGTATGCACAAAACAACAAGTAGGATTGAAATCTTGGATTTCAGGAGGGCTAACTTCAACCTCTTCAAGAAACTGCTTGGAGAAATCGCAGAGGTTAGGGTTCTGGAAGTTAGGGGAGTTCAAGTGAGCTGGTTGATATTCAAATATCACTTTCTCCAAGCTCAGGATCAGTGCATCCCTAAGAGCAAAAAATCAGGTAAGGGAAGCCGGAAACCCACATGGTTGAGCAGGGAGGTTCTGAAAAAGCTGAAGTGGAAGAAGGCAGCTTAAAGTGTGTGGAAGAAGGGACCGACCACTTGGGAAGATTACAAGAAGGCCATTAGAGTATGCAGGGATGAAACGAGGAAAACCAAGTCCTCCTTGGAATTAAACCTGGCAAGGGATATCAAAATCAACAAGAAGGATTGGAGGCAAAAGAAAAACTAGAGAAAATGTGGGACTGCTGTTGAATGAGACGGGTGCCATGGTGACAGAGGATACCGAGAAGGGGGAGTGGCTGAATGCCTTCTTTGCTTCAGTCTTTACTGCTGACGCCAGCCCTCAGGAGTCCCAGACTTCAGAGGTAATGGAGAAAGTCTGGATGAAGGAAGACTTCCCCTTGGTTGAGGAAGATCAAGTTAGAGAACAGTTAAGTACACTGGATATCTGCAAGTTCCTGGGTTCTGATGGGGTGCACCCATGAGTGCTGAGAGAGCTGGCAGAAGTCATTACTGGGCCACTCTCCATCATATTTGAAAGGTCATGGAGAACAGGCCTGAGGACTGGAGGAAAGCCAGTGTCACTCCAGTCTTCAAGAAGGGCAAGGAGGAGGACCCGGGAAACTACAGGCCAGTCAGCCACACCTCCATCCCTGGAAAGATGATGGAGCGACTCATTCTGGTGTCATCTCAAAGCATATGGAAGAAAACTATCAGAAATAGTCAACATGGATTCACCAAGGGGAAATCATGCCTGATTAACCTGATAGCCTTCTATGATGGCGTGAATGGATGGGTAGATGAGGGGAGGGCAGTGGTTGTCTACCTTGACTTCAGCAAGGCTTTCGACTCGGTCTCCCACAGCATCCTCATAGGTAAGCCTCAGAAGTGTGGGTTAGATGAATAGACAGTGGATTGAAAACTGGCTGAAAGACAGAGCTCAGAGGGTTGTGACTAGGGGCACAGAATCTAGTTGAAGGTCTGTAACAAGTGCTGTTCCCCAGGGGTCAGTACTGGGTCCAGCCCTCTTCAATATATTCATCAATGACCTGAATGTCATTGATGGAATGTACCCTCAGCAAGTTTGCTGATGACACAAATCTGGGAGGGGTGGTTGACACACCAGAAGGCTGTGCTGCCATTCAGTGAGACCTGGACAGGCTAGAGAGCTGGGCAGAGAGGAACCTGACGAAATTCAACACAGGCAATGTAGGATCGTGCACCTAGGGAGGAATAACACCATGCACCAGTACAGGTTGTAGGCTGATCTGCTGGAGAGCAGCTCTGTGGAAAAAGACCTGAGTGTCCTGGTGGGCAACAAGATCACCACAAACCAGCAATGTGCCCTTGTGGCCAAGAAGGCCAATGGCATCCTGGGGTGCATCAAGAAGACTGTGGCCAGCAGGTCGAGGGAGGTCATCTTCCCCCTCTGCCCTGAGGAAACCGTATCTAGAGTACTATATCCAGTTCTGGGCTCCCCAGTTCAAGAAGGACAGGGAACTGCTGGAGAGGGTAAGGCAAAGGGCTACAAAGATGATGAGGGGACTAGAACATCTCTCTTAAGAAGAAAGGCTGAGGGACTTGGGTCTTTGTAGTCTGGAGAAGAGAAGGCTGAGAAAGGATCTGATCAATGCCTCTAAATACTTAAAGGGTGGGTGTCAGGAGGACGGGGCCAGTCTTTTTTCAGTGGAGCCCAGTGACAGCACAGGAGGTAATGGGCACAAACATGAACATAGGAAGTTCCATCTAAACATGAGGAGGAAGTTCTTTACTTTGAGAGGGACAAAGTGCTGGAACAGGCTGCCCTGAGAGGTGGTGGAGTCTCTGTCTCTGGAGACATTCAAAACCCACCTGGACATGTTCCTGTGTAACCTGTGCAGGTGGACCTGCTTTGGCAGGGGAGTTGGACTAGATGATCTCCTGAGGTCCCTTCCAACCCCATATCATTCTTTGATTCTGTCCTTGTCATTTCTGCTGAAGCATCAGTTCAGCAGCAGCACCTACATTTCATGGGATATGATACCTGTACACAAATACAAACTTTTGTGCACACTAAAGAAGGATTTTCAAGGAAATGGGAACAGCTCACATGAAAACCTAAAACTATGTGAAGAGATGTGCCACCACATCTCTTCATCTGCTACCCCCTGAACTCACAGACAGGGTCCGACAAACTAAATAGTCCATCTTCACAATTTTCTAGTGATTTAAATACCAAACATGTCATATAGCTGTTAAGAGGCAAAAAACATGTTCTATGCTAATCTCTTGCTATCTAAAACCAACTCAAAAATTCAGAATTTATATTTTAGACAACTGTTTCATCCATAAACACCACAGAGATTACTTTCTACCTTCAGGCCTTAGAAGGAGAGAAATCTGAAGGAAATTTGGCATATGAGAGCAGTGGGGGATGAGGGACTGGAAACTCTTGAAATACAACACTCCAGAAGAATTTAAGGTCAATTGGATTAATCTGAAGAGAATTAAAGAATTCTGAAGGTGCCATTCAGCTTCAGGAACAAAGGGTGCCCCAGGAAGAAATTATATAATCAGCACACTGTATCAATGCAAATTGGAAAAAGTAATTTCTGTTCACTGTATTAACATAAATGATGAGAAACAAGGAGTAGGAGGGTTGGACTGTGCACTATTAGCATACCAAAACATTAGGAGCAACTTCTGTACCAAGAAGCTGAACAGATATATTGCCAACAACAAAAAGCCAGTGAGGTTTCTGAAGATGATGCTAAAATGAAGGTGCTACAAATTATGGGTGAAGTAGGTAAATCCAGGTACTGTTATATTCTGGGTGTTTCTTTTTGATTTTATCACTTTTGTTCACAAAAGCCTGAAATTTACAGTTCAGCAAAGAATGCCTCAGAGTCTGGGCAGTAAGGACTGAAAACCAGAAGCCAGAAAGTCACTATCATCAAAGATTCATACCTTTAAATACCCTTAAAGAAGTGTGTGGCAGAATTAACAGGGCTAAACCATTTAAAATGTAGTAAAAGGCTTGACAATGTAACATTGTCTTTACAAAGCATATGATCATCTAGAAATCTA